GAGGACGAGCAGTCCTGGCCAGAGGTGCTCGTGGAGGAAATCAGAGCGGTCCTCCCCACAACCACCGGCGATAAACAGCTGGCACATCCACTGCCCCCCATTGCACAAAGGATTCCCGCAGATTTGCTTGCCCCTACTGCCGTAGTTTTACCGATGGGGGGGCAATTAACGTCTGTTGCGGCCCAGGTGATTGGCCTGCTTACAAGCAAAGACCCCGATCACGACCAACAGGGAGGCCAGCTGGATGACAGCACAGACTACAGCACGGACTCAGATGAGGAAGTCGCACCTGGGGTCGGATCCCGGATCACCTACTAAGGAGCGGGCAGGAAAACGATGCGAAAACGAATATCGCTATGGACTATGTTATATACCATCCACCCTCTCCCTCACCTCCACGAGAGCCCCCCCCTCAACCGCATGTGCCACCCCTTACGAGGCGTCCTCCGGACTGGGAGCGAAAGGTCCTCTAGGCCGATCTAGACATAAGAGCCATCAACGTGAACGGCCTGGCGCAAGCCTCGCAGGACAAGAAGGATGCGATATGGAGAATGTTCAAGCACGACGGCAAGGTAGTATAGCCGGACGCGATCTGCGTACAAGAGACACACCTAACGCACTCGTCGCCGCATGTAGCAAAAAGCAAATGGGTGTGGCCGTATGCATCATTCTCAGCCCCGGCCATATCAGGGGCGTCCACAGGAGTGGCAATATGGTTGCCCCCCTCATCTAGACTGACCCCTGTTGCCCATGAATGTGATAAGCAAGAGGGTCGTTGGGTATATATAAGGGCAACAACGGGGGACGAGGAGATTGTCATCGCCAGTGTGTATGGCCCGAACGATCCGCTGGATAGGGTGCGTTTCCTTCACACCCTTCACCAAAACCTTCCGGATGATGTGCCGCTTATTGTGGCTGGAGACTTTAACATAACTCCCGATCCCTGGCTCGACAGACGGTCTTCCACCAACTCCCAATCCCAAAGAGGGCCCCATGACCGCTGGACCCCAGATGTGGAAATGCTAATCAGGTTCATGACCACATTGCAACTCAAAGATGCCTATAGAACCCTGCACCCCACCAAAYGAGCATACACYTRTGTCAGGTYAACAGGGGCAGCAGGCAYATCRAATTYTAGGATTGACCTCTTCCTCATCTCTGCAGAACTCGTGGGATCACTGGTGGTGGCAGACATCATGCCGATTAGCGCATCCAAATCCTTCGATCACAGAGGGATTGTCATGGGTCTATCCTTCCACTCCCTGGTAGAGAGGGGCCCGAGCTTCTATAAGTTCAACACCTCGCTCCTGAAACTTCCAGCACTCAAATCCCTGTAAAGGAATATTGGGAGTATTGGGCATCAAACAAAGATCAAGCCGTCTCTACAGTAGATTGGTTCAACACAGGGGTGGCGCAGTTAAAGGATAGGGTAAAAAAGTTTTCCATTGCCAATGCCCGACAATGCAAAGTAGTGCTTGACAACTTGCTCAACGAATTGGAGGAGTGGGACAGCAAACTACAAACAGACCCGCTCGACAACATGGCCTATCATCGACTACAAACAGCAAGGGATCATTTACAGTCCTACCTGGATGCACAGGCAGAAGCGTGGCAAATCCAAGCACGAATACGCCGCCAAGATACAGAGGGTACAATGGCAAAATCTTTTTTCAGAAAGGCTCAAGCTCGAGCCAGACAGTTGACTGTCCCCTCGCTGCGTCACCCCTTCGACCACTCAGCACCCGATGCCAGCAACGCATACGCAATCGTGGATTACGCTGCAAAATTCTACCAAAAACTATACATGTCTGAATCCCAACAATGGGGGGAACAACGCCTGGCGGAAGACCGTCATTTGATGCTTCAGCATCTCCCAGCAATGCTTTCATCAAACCAACGGCAACTTCTCGAAGAACCCTTGACCATAGACGAAATCTTGGAAGCCCTGAGGGGCATRGACGATGAAAAAACACYGRRGCTAGACTCGTTCCCGAAAGAATTATGGCTGCAACATTGGGATATATTTCAGAATAGCATTGAATCTTACGTACTTGCAGTACAGAGAGAAGGTACGTTTGGGGGCCTGATAAGTCAAGGGGTCACAACACTCCTATACAAAAAGGGCGACAAGGATGAAGTTAGGAATTACCGCCCGATCACACTCCTCCCCCTCCCATATAAAATGGTGTCTAAAGCCCTCACTAACCGATTACTTCCGTTCATGAATCACCTCATCTTCCAAGACCAAACCGGGTTCATGCCGCAAAGGAACATCCAGGACAACGTCCTGCTGGTCAACGAGACCATTAAATACGCCAGGCAACATGGCAAAGACGCTGCAGTCCTCTTTATAGACTTTGAGAAGGCCTACGACCATGTGGACTGGGACTTCATGGATCGCTGCCTGCAAAAAATGAATTTTGGAGATGGCTTCAGATCCTCGATATCGATTATGCATAGGACTGCGGCCACAAATGTTATGGTCAATGGCCACCTGTCGCCTCCCTTTGCTCTTCAGCGGTCCGTGAGGCAAGGCGACCCCATAGCTCCCCTCCTCTTCGTCTTGGTAATGGAGGCTCTGACGGCAATGATAAGAGTCAACCCGCGCATAGAACGCATATGCATCCCGGAGCTTCCCCCCCATATGGTGCCGGTCACCTCCCTCTTTGCTGATGACCTTACAGTCCTCGGTAGCTGCCGATATGAAGGTGAACTGGGGAACAAAGACGGAGGGCTGGTGGTTGGCTCCGCGAAACGACCAGCCCCCACAGCAGCCACCGATTAACTGGCGCTCGGGAGAGGAGGCGATCCGTATTCTGGAAATCCGATTGATAGCAATGGGCCCGCCCCAAGATCATGGACAGACGCTGTTGCAATTAGCTCTCCAAAGGCTGGCAAAATGGGACGGCCTTCACAAATCACTGGTGGGAAGGGCGCTTGCCATCAATAATGCAATTCTAGCTACGATTTGGTACAAAACGGTTTTTTGGGAAATACCCAAAAAGCAGTTGGCGCACCTTAGAACGACCCTCTCAGCCTACTTGTGGAGAAATGACCACAAGCGGACTGGCTGCCTCAAAAGGGTGGCTTGGAAGTATGTATCACAACCAAAAAAGGTAGGTGGCCTGGGCATCCTGGACCCCGGGGACGAAACCAAGGCTCTCATGTTTAAAGTCATCGTCCGATTGCTTCTAGCAAATGACATACCTTGGTTGCCGCTCGCATATATACAATTGGCTCACCTGGCCCCTCCCTCACACTGTGACAACCCGGTCCACCCCCTCACATGGTTTACAAACACAGCTTGGTCTGTCCCTGGCCCCCCGCACCATCGAAGGGATGGGACCGCTAGGAACGCCATACGTTGGGACCTGAAACAGGACCCCATGTGGACAACAATGCTAAATCTGTGGAGACAGATGGGACCATCAAAGAAGGCCCCCCCGCTGCGCTGGCAAGAGATTTGGCGACAACCTCTATTTGGGAATCCACATTTGTGTGATGAGACTGGGTCTCCGCTCTCCTTGGAAACCGGCTCACATTGGCTGACATGGGTAAAAAATGGCCTCTTTGTGGTTGGGGACCCTTGGGATAGCCAGCGAGGTGTCTGGAAGTCAGCAAACCAGCTGCGGCAAAGCCTGAGGCACGTCAAGAACTGCCAGGAAAAACTTCAGCTTATTCACTGCGCAATCCCACCCTCATGGGCAGCGACCCTGGCAAGCGGCCCGACAGTGTGCGGAAATGACTGGGTTAAAAGGGCCACGCCCAAACCGATCCCCATGAACATATTCAGGGTGTGCCATGTTGCTGACAGTGGAGTGCAGTTGCAGGCCTACGCGCCGGATGTCCCCGGGGCGCGCTGGGCTGCACTGAAAAGGGACCGAGATTCAGATTGTGTGCTCCCGATGGAGGAGCTGTCTAGGATCAGGGTAGTCGGGGACAAGGACTCTGGCTTTTTCGCTTATGAAATAACCTCTCAGATCTGCGCACTCCCCTTTGACCCTGACGAATGGGAATGGAAAGGCAAACAACCCACACAGCTCAGGCAATACACGGTAAAAGGAGGATACAATCAGGTGCATAAAATCCACTCCTCTACAACGGTGGTCCAAAATCAATGGAAACGGGACTCGCCACTGCAAGGGGCAGAGTTGCGACACATCCCATGGTCGACTTGTGCACACATCATGCCGACATCACACAGGGCCCTGCAATGGCAGATAGCACATCGCTGCCTACCGACACCTGACTGGATAACAGCACGCACGAAATTGGAACAAGCGGGAGTCATCTCCCCTATCTGCTCCCAATGCGGGGAAGGTGCGCCAACCAGGCGTGCCGACCTGGAACACTGTCTGCTGGCCTGCCCGATGGCAGTACAGGTATGGCAGTGGTGGGACGCGATGTGGCATGAGCTAACAGCATCTCCCTTCCAATGGAACGTTCCCCTCATCCTGTGGGGACAAACTAAACACTTCCCTCCAGCCTGGTCACCCTTTCAGGTGACTTGTTCACATATATGAGGCTTGCTCTCCTCATGGTTATTTGGCGAATGCGTTGCTCGGCAGAGCACAAGGAATTCACCTTTGGCTTGGACCAGGCCAAAGAAGAACTGCTTCAGGTCATTCGACAGCGCCTCACAAAGGCAAGTGGGAAGCTAATGAAAACAGTGGCGGCAATCACGGACCGGGCGGACAAAAATAGGGCGATTAYGGCCTTTAARCACAAGTGGATAGATCCGAATCTTAAAATGGCAGATGTCCAAGATGACGGCAGGTTAAGATGGAACAACTGGGCCGCAGAGCAACACAGGTGGGTGTATAGGCCGGGAGACTGCTTTCACACCCCCCTGCCGGGCCTCCAGGACCGCGCCCTTGAGGACGTCCTACCGACTGACGAGCAGCAGGGCCTGCCCAGAGACCCGGCCGACTTGTCTTCGCCTCTAGGGCCGCCGTCGTCCCCTCTGCTCCCATCCGCTTCTCTTCCCCCGGTCCCCTCACCACCCAGCGACCCGGCCGACTTGTCTTTCCCTCTAGGGCCGGCATGGTCCCCTCCTCTCCCATCGGCTCCTCCTCCCCCGCCTCCCCCACCCCCCTCGCCCTGTCCCTCCTCCCCGACCCTCCCCACCCCGTACCCCAACCCACCTGAGTGACGGCCAGCCAGCCTAAGAGGAATGACNCCCCACCCCCCTCGCCCTGTCCCTCCTCCCCGACCCTCCCCACCCCGTACCCCAACCCACCTGAGTGACGGCCAGCCAGCCTAAGAGGAATGACGTAATGGGACCCACCTGAGTGACGGCCAGCCAGCCTAAGAGGAATGACGTAATGGGACAAAAGATTGCTGAGACAAGGTACTGGTGGTTAACTGCCTCCCAAAACAGGGGATGGGAGTGCAGCATCCCGCCCTACGTCAAGGCACGAGAAACATCAAAAAAGGGGACGTCGGGCTCCTTGCCACACAAGCACTTAGCCTGGTTGACATGAGGAAATAGAACGGCTTTGGGGATAAGGGGGACATGTTTTTTTTTTTTACTGTGATAATGGGGCCGGTGTGCTGGGGCGGTCACAATGGTGGTGCACAAAGGACTGAATGATTAGACACAGATATATTCAGACAAGGGGGCTGCGACAGGGCTGGGCCATTAGATAAGGGGGGCGCCTAAGAAGGGACGGGTGATATTCGCAGCTCCAAGGGATATGGGAGCCCCAAGTGGATTTTGCAATGGCCGCAGCCCCGGGGAACAACATACAGCATTTTTCTGCATTGTACGATGTATAAAAGGGACGCTGGACCCGGTTTCCAGCAGGTGCTGCTCCCCACCAATAGATGGAGCCTCCCCGGCGGTGCTAGGCATGTCTGCTCTTATCAGCACGTCTAGCATCCAATCGGGTTGTTTTGGGAAAAAAAAGAAAAAAAAAAAAAAAAAAGAAGAAGAAGAAACTTACTTTCTTAAGCTGGGCAATGTTCTCAGAATGTTGCCCAGGTCCTCTCCTCTGACAATATTGCAACCTGCAGCAAGTCGGGGATGATGGGTCTGATTTTCTCAATAAGGATTCAAACTCATGACCATTCAGCCACATGGCCCAGGTATTCCTGCTTACATTTCTTAGACTGGAAAACAACAACATGATACACCTGGGAAGAGAGTGGGGCAACACCATACACCTGGGAAGAAGGTGGGGAGGAGAGAGAAGGGGACAACAGCCACAGGAATGACTTGCCAAATTCAAAGAACAGATGGAAAAAAAGGAGGGAAAAGAGAAATGCCCTTTACACTGCCTGCAAACTCTGCCTAGGTCCACCAGTACATGGGCACCTGGGCCACGGGCCTGACACCTGAAATTCCTGGAGGCGTGAAACGAGAACGTCACCGCCGATCAAAGTTATCAACGGCGGGCCCAGCTTTTGACGTTCCGGCCTCGTTTTCTTGTGGTGAGAAGTTTCGGAGTGCAAGGCTGGGGCCGTGTAGTCGTGGTTTAAAAAGGAAGGGGGGTGAAGAGGGGGAAGGGGGGGGTGGGGGACGAGGGGGGCGAAGGTGGGGGTAAACCTTGGGAAACATAAGGGATGCGCACTTCCAAGGCTTTGCCTCTTAGCAGCACAAAGGATGGACTGACAGGTTCCCAGTTGCATTGCCACGATGAGCTTCACAATTTTCTTTCCTGGCCACTTTGTCACCATTTTCACTACAATTTTTCAAGCCGACATGCACTTGGGGATTTTGAGTCTGTCTTTTTTCATTTCGATTTTCTTTTTTTTTTAAGAACAAATAGCATGTTTCATTATACAAAGAGCAAAAGGAGGCCGTGAATCCCTCCACATCTCAACCCGGATGAATATTTCGATTTTCTTTTGTTTTGAATTTGTGATGAATTTCTCCATTAAATCAATCCACTTCCCACACCCATGGCATGCATATATGAATCCCTCTCCTCTGCTGAGATGATGTAGAAAGGGGGTATTTGGGAACTTGGAGCAGGCAGACAAATGGAACCAAAACATTCACGTTCCCTCTCCCAGGTATACTAGTTGGGGGTGCTGATATCACCTCAACTAGTACTTCCTGCAGTGTCTTATGAAAAAAAAAAAAAAAAGATTCCCACGTTCCCAATTTCCTGAACAGGCAGGGGACCCAAGTCAACAAGACGTGAGCAACAACCACCAGGCATCTCCAACCACCAGTCTGAGCACCCGTGTCTTTGAGCAGGGATAGGGGCAAAAGGGTGATGGTTGCCCGACGTGCGACATGAATATACAAATGTATTCTCTGTCAGAATAAGACCTAGTACATCTTTGAGCTATTTTTAATTTCCTTGTTAATGTGTATCTGATTCACCCGTGTCTTTGAGCTTATAGACTATCTGGTTGGGCGGGGCTGCAACGTAAAAAAGACAACAACAACCGAAAGAAAAAAGAAAAAAAAAGAAACAATGGCGGACACAGCATGTTTTGAGTTCGCAAAGGCAGAAAAATCAGGCAGTCGGCAACTTTGTCACAGCCTGAGTTTGAAAAGGCGGTAGTAACTCAGGCCGGCAGTGGTGTCAGGGTGGCGGTTTCGTTACAGCGGTTGTGTTTTTTGTTTTTTTTTTCCGGCGTCAGTTTTTTGTTTTTTTTTGGGCATCAGTTTTTTTTTTTTTTTTTTTTTTGGCATCAGTTTTTTTT